GCACCGCAGCCACGTGGGTGGTGGGTGTGGCTCAGAAGCCTCTTCTGGGCTTACCGGCTGAGCAGTTGTCTGCGTCCTCCGAACCCAAGGCGCCTGGCACGCTCTAACAGGTTCAGCTAGCCCTGTTGCTACGGGAGTGGCCCAGGGCCTCCCCATCTCCAGGCCCAGCAGGGTTTCCCCATCAGCATCCGTCCCAGCAGGACCACCACACTTGCAGTAACAACCGCCACCACTGCCCGGCTGTCCTGTCTCTACCTGTGATGCACATTTCTCATACCAAGCACTAGCAGCCTGATTCCTCTAATAAAAACACAAATGCATGTAAGACTCACCGACCGCGACTGTAATCAGGGAGCAGCGAGAACCATGACTCAGCATGTTAAGGCAGCATTCACGATGAATACCTGGCCATCATCCCGATTTTATGCCAGTCAGACTTAACGAAAAAAATAAGTGTCTCGGCTGAATTTATCTTATTAGGGGATTTAGGTTATGTTAATGCTATAGCTTCATTAATTACCCCGTATCAATAAAAAAAGGCAGCTTTTAGCCTCCGAGCGGAAGAGAGGAAAAGAAATGGTGGTATCAAAGCGAGCCTTCAAAGACAGCCAGAGCTGTCTCCAGGGTAATTTCTGATCCCTGCATTCTTCCCACTTCAAAGTTGGATGTGTGAGTGTGTTTGGGTCGAGGGGGTTGGGGAAAGCTTGAATCTGATTTCTCTAATAAGTGTTGGCATCAGCCCCGTTTGATATTAGATGCAGGGAACATTTTGATTTGTTATAGCCTTTGAAATTGTTCAGACGACCTTCAGAAAAATGGCCTCTTGTTACTTCTGGGGGGAAGGGTGACTGCAGGAAAGGGGGATCCAGTTTAATTCATATGCAGAGGATGCCCTGAAATTGTGCTCTCAGCAGTTTTTTAGTAACAAATGCATGTCCTGATTGAAAGTGAAAAGTTGGAGAATAATAGACCCGTAGCTGCGTTGTTCGGAGACTCGGCCGCTCTCCTCCCCGGGGAGGGTGGGCAGGCTTAGGAAGATGACCACCTAGACGTGTGTGGCTTCGAGACTTGGGGGACCACAAGAAAGCTGTCTCCTTTACTGGTTGGTAGCATTCTGCCCAAACTGACATGTCTGTCACCTGTTGACCTTGCAAGACGAAGCCACTGAAGGAGTAAAGGCCACACAAGTCGGCCGCCTGCACTCCTGAGTTCACGTGGAGGTACTGTTCCAGGTCACCACAGACCACTGTACTGCTTTCGAGTGAGACACGGAACTGCCCGCTTTCCGATGAGCTGCCAGATGTGTTAGCCGCAGTGGTCACAGCAGCGGGCCTCAGCGGACTGGCGATGGGCGAGCTCTGCGGGAGTGCCCCCTGGAGAGTGGTCAGGGACGGCTGAGGGTGCTGAGAGCCGGCCTCGGGCTGCAGTCCGGCCACAGGCAGCCCATCGTCCCAGGGCAGCAGCCAGGCCTCCACAGCGACGCTCCACGTGCGGTGACTGTGTGGTAATGGCAAGGCTGCTAACTTCTCCTGCCTCAGTTGCTGCATCCGTGCACTGGAAGTATTTTTATCACCCTCGCACGATTGCAGGGAGGCTTTGAAAAAGATAACAGGTGAAGAGCAGGCCAGGTGCATTATTATCAGTCAGGATACCTGCCCTTGCAGGTGGTGTTGGAGGTGATGGGGTAGCATCCTTGGAGTTAGGATCCCCTTGCCTGGTGATTTCAGCTCATTGCGGTTGTCCTTTTCGGTGAATAGATTTGATTCATCAGTATTTCACTCGTTCTTCCCAGGCATCAAGAGGTCTTTTGACATCTGAGCGCTTGTCCTAAGAACAGTCATGTCTGTACCAAAGCAGTTGGTCGTCTGTGGGGTTTTCATTTCAGCTGAGAACAGACCGTATTCCTACCCCTAGAACACTTACTCCAGTCCCCAGCATCCAGGAGGCTGCTCCGAAGACTGCAGACCCAGCCACCAATTACCACAGGCTGGACTTTGCCGCCTTCACGTCTTCCTAGTGCTTGCCCAGAATACTGAGGGGTGCTTTGCTTTCCTGTCTGGACACTGTAGTTCAGAATAATTTCCTGTTCATCAGGCTGAAGACTTGCAGCTCCCAGAGTGTTCCTTTTTTGAATATTGCAGCCAGCAAAAAATTAGTAGCCATACCCGCCTTTGCAGCAAATAAGTTGAAGCTAATAAATATTCACTCAGATCAGTCTTGGCTCCCTGAAATGAGTTTCTGAAATTTCCCTGGCCCTGAGGAGAGGCAGGGCTCGACTGCAGAACACTCGTTTAAATGGCTTTCTCTGGCATAAATCTAGCAGAAAATCAAATGCAAACCACCTGCCGTGTGTTCCCAACAAAGGGGACCCCGTGTCACCGATCCTTTCTTACCATGTGCACCAGGTAAATAGACCACATTGTCTGCGGTCCCTCTGTCCCAGATGGTGGGAACTGGTCCCCAGGGTCCTGAGCACCATATTTAAACCTCCTTTCAAAAAGAGCAGCATCCTGACTGCGTGAGCATGGTGTGCTTGGAGAACCCAGTTCGGCTGGAGAGACCATCTCTTACTTAAACCTGCACACGTGGCTCGGTGGTGATGTTTTTATATTAAAACATCTCACAGATACTGACAGTTTCTTAAAATAATTTTCTCCTTCAAAGAAAAACTGTGACTTTGCAGCTGCAGGGATTCCCATCCTGCTTCTCGTGGCTCTGGGTTCGGGTCTCAGTCTGCCTGGGTGTGATGGGAGTGGGCGGGAAGCAGGGATGGTGGAGAAGCTCAGACGCAGCAGCAGTGGGCCTGACATGGGAGGAGAACTGCACCAGCTCCAAGTTCAGACATAGATGTTGCTCTTCCCGAAACTCAGCTGTAGGACCTTTGACATCTCCCTGTCACCTTGGCAGCGATTTGGGCAGAACTAAAAGATGCAAAAAGTCATTCTCATTCATCCCACGATGGCGGCATAATCTTTAAATGCTGCACTTGTTAAGCCCAGAGCTAAACCGCTGCACCGAGAATGCAAGCTGAGCCGGCCTTACCTCCGGGATACCAGCACGCGCCCAGCAGTGGCTCTTCGGCAAAATGGGTAATGCCGGGAAGTGGCGGCATCGTGTCTCTTTGAGCCTTTCTTCAGAGTTGTCTTGGGGTTACGCCTCGCTTTCCCCCTACAGATTTTAACCTGTCAAGTTAAAATTCTAACGGCTGAAGATCTTTAAGAGTCTTAATCCATCAGATCGGTGGGGGGTGGAGGGGAGGATAGATGTGATTTAAAGCACACCTTTCTGGAGAATAGTTTAGCTGGAGTAGACGAGAGGGTCCGTTAGGGCCCTTCATGGAAACCCAGGAAGGAGAGGGTGGAGTGGCGGGTACGAGGGTGGGGAGAGGTGGACAGATCGAGGTGTGCTACTTTCCAGGTCGATGAGTGAGTACTGGCTCACTCAAAGCTCCCCCATCATTTGCAGTGGAGTCGGGTTAAGTAAACCTCCACCCCGCCAGGCAGAGCCCCCAGAGGCCGGAATGGCCACCTCAGGACCATCTTAGCCTTCTCTGCTGTCCTAAACGTTTTCGAACATAGTAAAATGTACATGGAACTAATCGCGGGCAGGAGGCGGTCCAGAGAACGAATGCATGCCTGTGCACAGCCCGATAGGAACCCGAGTCCTGTCTCAGCCAGAACCGGCCCTCCCACCGCCGCCCAGGGGCTGCGCTGCGCTTCCTGTCTCAAAGGTGTCCTGCCATCCGATTGTGTCTCTTGCTCCCCGGTGCCCTCAGCTCAATCGATAGCACAACACACGGCCCTCAGCAGCCACGACTCAGGTTTCTGCCGTGACCACGGGCCAACCCCAGAGGCAGGTTCCAAGAGGCCCATTGACCAGGTGTTTCAATTTGCTCAACTCCTGAACTCGACTTTCTCGCACCTGCGGGACGTGCCGATGGCTCCCCGGTTTAATCAGCACTGTCCTTGACCTACCTCTCAGCCCTTTGTTGGGGGAGTCTGTAATCCTATTTTTGTCACGTAATTTGTTCTAATTCTTGTAGCAGTGAGAAGGCATTGATTGGGTTTATCGTGCAGCCCGGTAAAACCAAAGTGGTTTTGGTTAGATGCACCACGTTTTATCCAGACCTCGAGCTTCTTCGTTGGTAAAGTTAGAGGTACCATCGATTTGGGGCTCCTGACCGGTCAGGCATCACAGTTAATGGGGTGGGGGGGCACCACTGAGGAGACAGGCAGAAGGAACGGGCTCTCAGGGGAGGACCGAGGGCTCCGTGTACCCAACAGCACAGCAGTCCCCCACGGGCTTCTGTCGCCCAGCCGGGTCCACGTGCCGGGGGCGGGGCGAGCTGAGAGTGGTGTGGAGGGCCAGGGCTCCGCAGCTAGATGCTGCCAGCTTCCCTCGCGAGGAAGACCCACATCCCATTCCAGGACCTGGGGAGCGAGCAGGCCTCCTGCCCTCACCAGCTCACATTCCTCTGGGCAGATCCCATGGTGAACAAGCAGACCGTGGAGCAGTAGTTCTCCAGGCAGTTCTAAGTGTTAGAAAATGTTAAATTGTGAAAGGATGAAGAGATCTAGAAATGGTATTGGGGATAATGTGTTGATAGGAAAGCCAGGAGCCGCCTCTCTGATAAGGTGCCATCTGGGCCACAGGAGTCACAGCAGGAGCCATGGAAGGGCTCGTGGGGAAATAATCCAGGCACAGCGTGGGGCGCACAGGTCCTGGGCACAGGGGTGAGCAGGAGGACTGGCAGGAGTCCGGGTTGGAGGAGTGAGCGGGGGCCCAGCACGGGGGCATGGAAGCAGCAGGTGCTTGGAGCTGACCTCCCTCATCCCTTCATTCAGGTCCCTTAAGTCGCCTCCAGGTTGACAGACAGTTTAAACAGGCGTTCAGGATCCTTTTCAACCCTAAGAGTCTACTGTTCTGTCATCAGGGTTTCGTTTCCTCCCAAGTGGAATGAGGGTGACAGTAGTTCGAATAGCATTTCCTGAAGCTGGAAATTCTGAAACTGACCCTGATGATTATCTCTCCCCACAGCTGGATATATGGTCCAGATCCAACTACCAGGTGTTCCAGAAGGTGAGTGACGCTTTGCTTCTTACCCAGAAGTTGTTCAGAAAACGTGAGTGGAGACAGGAGTGGAAGCGTCAGTCTGAAATCAGAGCCTTTACAAAGCGAAAGAAGCCACGTCTTAAAGGCTACCGTGGGGTTTCATCTGTGTGACGGTGGGGGCAGAAATCGGATCGGCGAGCGCCTGGGGTGGGGGTGGGCGCTTGACCCCAGAGGGGCACAAGGGAAGGCGTTGGGTTGCTGGGGACATCCTGTGTCCTCGTTGTGATGACGCAGCGGAACGTGTTTGTCAAACTCAGAGCTGTAGCCCTGGAGAGGGAGAGTTTTACTGTATGTGAGGTCGTACCTTCTAGAAACCAGAGGCTTTTGGGTTATTCCACGCTCAACCCTGTTTTGAAACGCAGTTTCTCAGAGCCTCGTGTCCAGGGATGGGCTGAGGGAGGCAGGTGGTCCCCCTCACCCTGTCTCACCCTCACTTTACTCCTCGGCGATACCTTTTTCAGATACCGGACATCCTTATGAAAAAGCGTTTGAGAAATGTTAGGAAAAAATTAGAAATGATTAAAGAAAACCTATTTCCCCAGATCTCAACTGCGAGGGTCCCGTCCCTGGACTAACTCAGTCCTCGAGTTCTTGAGGGACCCCCACCCGACAGCACTCGGGCCAGCTCCCTGCAGGGCACCAGCAGGCTGTACCCTTCTCTTCTGCCTGCGTCTGGTCGGTAATGTGCGTAGCCTAGTCACAGCCTCTCGTCCAGGCCCCGTCTCCCGTGTGCCGGGCTAGGTGCTGGGTGCCGGGAATACAGGGGAAATCAGGCAGGCACACCTGTGGGGCATGCTGGTGGCTCCCTGGTTTAATCAGCACTGGCCTGATCAATAAGCAGGCTAACCACAGGGTGCAGCCAGGGCGCGGTGCGGCGATGCTCATTAGGGGAGTGGGAAGAGGCCTGGGGTGGCGGGGACCTAGCCGAGGCAGTGGTATGAGGAGGAGGAGCAGCGTGTGGACAGCACAGGAAGGGCCGCCCCGAGCAGATATGGCAGGGCCGAGGCAGTGGTATGAGGAGGAGGAGGAGCAGCGTGTGGACAGCACAGAAAGGGCCGCCCCGAGCAGATATGGCAGAGGCGCTCTCTGGGTGAGAGGCGACCTGGACGTGGTGCGGGGCCCGGGTCAGGCACAGGCCTGTAGGTCCTGACGCGGAGTTTGGGTTTTATTCTCGGCTTGCTGAGAAGCCACCGAAAGGACTGACAGGAGGGACGCGGTTTTGAGCGCGTGGCCTATGTGCTCCCACAGCGAGCAGTAGTTGTGTCCAGGGTGTGCTAGGGCACAGGGCTTTTTGTCTTAGTTGAATAAAGTGCATGTTCCATAAAATTAGCCATTTTAAAGTGAACGCGCCCTTGACTTTTAGTACCTTCACAATGGTGCCCAGACACTACCCCTACGTGCAGGGCACGCGCCACCCAGAAAGGAGCCTGCACCCATTACACGGTGAGTGTAGGGCTTTGGTACCAAGGGACACAAAGCCCGCCCACAGTGCTGTTTACAGCACGTCAGTCATGTCGTCCGTGCCCTGTACAGGGGTGAGGGTAAGCATAGCACAGCTGCGGGGGCAGGGGGAAGTCCGATGCTGAAAAACGCACATTTCGGGAGCCCGTATAAGCATTGAACAGTCATGACCTGGGCCCACTGTGGTGGCACACTGGCTTGGACCGCATGGGAAGCCTGGGTCCAATACCCACTCCTACCTGCAAGGCCAGGTGCCGTGGTATAACCCCAGCAACTCCGGATCCTCTGGCAGGAGGATCGTGATGAGGAGATGAGACCCTATCCAAAAAAATCTGGATCTTACTCCAGTTAAACGCGATGTGCTACCCTGGGCTGGGTCCTGAGACAGAAAGCGCATCAGTAGAACAATAGTGAATTCCAGATTAAGGCCGAGCCTCGTCACTAGCGAGTAACCAGTTCTGGGTTGGGACGAGTCACCGCGGCCATGAGAGATGCTGAGAGTGGGGGGAAGAGGAGCCGCCGGGGTGATGAGAAGCATCTGTGCTGTCTCCACGCCCTTTTCTGTACATGGAAACTTCCAAACGAAAAACGTTATTAACAAAGAAGCTTAGTCTTGACTCATCTAACACTCTCTTATCCCACTGAGCTCCCTACAAATGTAACCGCGAGAATAGCCCCTTCCTGGTCCCAACCCTGCAGGAGGGAAGTCTCAGGTCACGTGGAGGCTTTAGGACCGGGCACTGTGTCTCATACTGTGTCCTTACCTGAGTCCCCACACCCAAGGTGTGCACCGGTCTCAGCCTGAAATGCTGGTCGTTCTAGTCATGGGTTCCCCAGCAGCTGGTGGAAAACTCTTCTTTTTTTTTTTTTTTTTTTTTGGTTTTTGCTATAGGGTACGTGCACTCGCCAGACAGACAGAGAGAGACAGAGACAGAAAGCGAGAAATCACCCCCCAGGGGGGATGGCCACACCGCATTCCCTTCCCCTCCAGTCTCCTCTCGGGATCTTGGGCACGCACGCACACGTGCCTGGTGTAAGTTTAAGCCACTGGGTCCGGGACACGAACCACAGTTGACTACATGGGAGTCCAGCGACATAGCCATTACACTAACTGCTGGTCCCACTGGTGGAAAACCCTTCTAAGGAGAAAGAGCACTGTTCGTTATATCTGTATCTAGTTTTGCTTTAATGGTGAGGAGCGTTAAGACAGCGGCTGGTCTCCCTTTTACCTGGCCTTACCTCGGGGTCCTCTGCCTTCTGACTGCACAGAAGGCTGGCGGTGACCGCGGGAGGGCAGTGGGCACTTCAGCCGTGACTGGCCATCCCCCGTGCTCTGGTTCCCCCCAGCTTCCTCTGTGAGGGGCTAGCACCTGCCTGCCTGTGTGCGTCCTTTTTTGTTTTGAATGTTCTCATAATTCATGAACGCAAAGATACACTATCCGGCAGGTGTAAAATGTGAGAACAGATCTGGCGAAGCGTGGACTTAGTGTTGTATTTTGACGCCACCTCCCCTGAAAGTAACCCACAGGCTCTCTGCACTAGTTTAAAGTTGCAGACGCACATGGAAGCGGTGTTGGGAACTCGGCGTTACGGTAGTTGGAGAGAATTCGGAGCACCCTAGTTACGGAGCACGTTCGAAGCAGTGAACATGGCTGAGTTCTCAGGGCTGGGAATGTTACCTCTGCGGATGAGTGGACGTCATCTGTTTGTGTGGAACCCTTTCTGGGATTCCTTTATCGGCCCCTGTCTTCACCTGTTTCTAGCTAAATGGATTTAACCTCTGATACTGACCTGTACTAGATTAAAGAACCACACGGGGAGAGGCGGCAGGACTCTCAGAGTTAAAGGCGGATAATATTGAAGTCCTTTTCCTTTTGCAGAGACAGGTAAGAATTAGTAGATTAGGGAGGCCTCTATCTCCCCTACTGAAACCTCGTCTCCTGGCTGTCAAATGAAGGACTATATTGGAAAATAATGCAGTGTAGAATTAAGCATATACTTTATCAATAAAGCTTTCAACTAATCGCTGTCACACGAAATACTGGGATTTTATGCTAAAACATCCGTTTTTCCACCATGTGCTAGCAGAAGGTGACCCAGACGGCACAAAGGCTATGCGTGCAGCTGGTGGCCAGGACTGGCTGCACTGTGGTGGGCTGGCCTTCATCCGGCGGAGCCAGTGGCCAGAGGTGGGCCTTGTTGGGGCCACTTCTTCCACCACAGAGTCTGAAGGCCTGGTACTTTATGGGGTGAGGACGGCATTTCAGACTCACAACACCAAAACAGAAAGATCAGGGGCAGCACGTCTAAACTCTGCCTTTTAGGAGCAGCTAGTCCCGGAATTCTGTTTCCTTCCTGTCCACCCACGTAACTTCAGAGTGTCCTGATTGATGTGGCTCATAGCATTTCTTCAAGAGCAGCTGTTTGAGAGCCCCGTGTAGACACTCCCTTCTGCCCTCATCTGCCGGCTGGCACCTTTCCAGGCAGAGCCGCAGGGTGGGCTCGGTTATCAGCCTCATCCAGAAACACTCAGCCCAAAACGGGAGCTGGAAGTGCCCCGGTGAGTAGTGGAACTTGGCGAAGGAGCTGCCAGGTCATCAGTGCAGGGGTTCCCAGGCAGGAGCTAGTTCCCAAGTGTCCTAACCTGGGGATGGTGAGGGGCACTGGGACTGTGCCTCTCCCCCAAGGGCGCCCTTGGTCGCCAAAGCAGCCAGTGCAGGACGTGTGGAGAACCATCTTGCAGCATGGCCCTGGCATAGCCCACGTAGACGCCCTATGTCGGGCGTTCAGCGTGTGCTTGCAAGGCTGTGTTGGGTGTTTTCCTGCCCATGGGTAGCAGCAGGGGCCCCACAGAACGGGGGCTGCTAAGAAGGCAAGAAGCCTGCTGAGGAGTCCCCTCAATGTGACAATGGAGGGGCCCAGGAGAAATTGCCACACAGCACCAAAGCAAGCTTGCACTCGGCTTTTCATTTCTGGAAAACAGTGTTGGGAGCTCAGGGACCGGCACACAGCCCTGTCGAATTCTCGGCCCGTGCCTCACTCCCAGGGTTAAAGCTGAGCAGCCATGCCTCTGTCACAGATCTCGCCACGGGAAGCAAAATGTGGCCTGCCTTTTGTCTGCAGATGTCAGCCGTGTCAGCAAGCCCTTTCCTCTCATTAGACCCCTTACCCACAGTGGGGACAGGCGGAGGGCTGGGGACACGGCTGTGGGTCCATGGCTGCTAACAGGCTCTCAGTGTTTCCTGGGTTCCCAGAGGTGCCTGTGCTTCATCCCACAGTGAAGAAGCTTTTTATAGCCAGCGAGCCTCCAGCAGAGTAAACTCAGAGAATGGGACTGAGAAATAGTGGACCGTCTGAAAGGGCAGTCACAAAGAGGCAGGAAAGGTTTCCAGGGTGTTCCTGTTTTCTGACATTTAGACTCTGCAGGGGCAGTCACAGTTTTGATCTTTAACCCTCTCATTTCAAAACAGTGTGTATTTTCATCCAGTAACTTATGAGGAGCGCCA